GTCGTTAATACCTATCTTCAAAATCAATAATGACTTTTAGAACACCTTCTGGTATTCAGTATTGGCGGAACAAACTGGGGTCTGTTGCTTTAAGGCTTTTTAGTTCTTTACTTTAACAATTTACTGATCGCCAGCAGTTTCACCAAACAAACACCGAGGGTGCAGTCACGCCACGCAGACAGAGAGTTCAGCCAAACAGTAAATCATATTCAATAACAGATCATGGGTAATCACCACCACGCCATGGCACAGAGGTTATTGGACGTCATATTTCACTGAAGACTATTCGCGGGGCTCATTCGCGTATCAAATTTAAAATTATCCAATCATCTCAAATTTTATCGTCGTTCTGGTGTTGATAATTAGCCGTCAAAGTTTTGCGGGTCGATTCTCGGTTAACCATTCCACCTCTCACGGTCGTAGGTTATTTCTCTTCGTGGGATTGGTCGTTTTTAATATGTTAAATTAGCTCGATATTTAGATCAAGAAATTAAATATAGCTGCAGACATCTTTAGCTCTTAAAACAAGCCGTCACCGTTTACACGGCATGCTAGCACCAGAATGCTCAGTCACGTTCAAAGTGATCTGGCGAGTACTGGGGCCCGAAAGTCCGTGTCTGAAGGTCAGAATTAAGCGAGGTGCGGTCAGAGTCCAAGGAGATAGCCAGACTCCGCGAGACAGACTCATTAGTCAGATTCAAGGAGACAGACGGTCAGACCCAGCGTATTTGGTTAGTCTCAATTGCTTCTTACGACAACATACAGTAGCCACTTTTGACGCTTGCGGCTTTCTTTTATCATTGTTGTTATTGCTGGCTATTGCTGGCTGTTGCTATTGGCTGTTAATTTTATTTCGGTTCTTCTGGTTTTCATGTTTTTGTTGCTGCTGTGCTGTGCTGTTGCCGTGGCTGTGGTTGCTGTTGGCGCTGTTGTTGCTCACTTTATGCTTTACCTATTTACCGCGTTCGTTACGCTGGCCATCGGTCGGCAGTCGCCTTCAGGTTTCAATCACCAGCCACGCCAATATTGTTATTGGTCCATTCTGCTCGTTTTCGGTTGCAACAACCGGTCAATCTCCTGGCTTTCAGAGATCTCACAGAAGGAAGAAGAAAGGAAAGGAGGAGAGGAAAGGGATGGGAGATGGGCTAGGAGAGGGAGGAAGGAGAATGGAGAGGGCAAGAAGAAAATAGAGAGAAAGGAAGAAGGGAAGGAGGGGAAGGAGAGGAAGGGGAGGAGAGGAAGATATCATCACACTGTTATACGTTCAGGGCAAGGCGTAGCAGCTTTCACTTCGGGGAATGAAAGTTCATAAAGTTCTTCACCTGCTCTGTTCATATTGTTGTCTACATTTATCTACTTTACCTATTTACTCTGGTATATCAACTTCATCCGTTAAAGTTCGCTGTTTCATTTTTTCTGGTGAATCACAGCGGGTTCTTTTCATCAATATTCTATGCCATATTCCCCAGCACGCGACAAGTCAATAGAAATGTTTGTCAGTTCCCTCACGCATCCGTTAATCTCTGGTTGCGTTAAATAACGAACAACAACAAATAGTTGCCAGATCGATGAATCAAAACAAAACAGATAATAAAGAAGCCAAAGAGCTGGCGAAAAGCCCATCAGCAGTAAATGAGCAGTAGCGTACGACAGCGTAACACATGTTCACGTAATAACAGCGTGAATTATTCAATATTTCAGGCGAAATGTGCCTGCGCCAGCAAATAAGTCAGCGGGAATGAAAGTCTCGAACCGACACTTTGATCAGCCAACTGCTTAAACGATGTTAGGCGGTTAAAACATTTGATCTCGATCACAAAGTCAGCTCCAAATCTCGGCAATGGTCTGCTGGAGTGAATCTCTGCAGTCTTCTGGCTCAGTTGGTTGTCGCCAACTCCAGATAAATTACATGACGCGGCGCTCGGTGGCAGCAAACCCAACAGGCGGCGTTACGTCTTCGGCGAGTTATACACAAGATGACTAATGTGAAAGTAGAGAAATGGTGCTGGAACAGGCAAAGCTGGCGATGGGCAGCCCGTGCCGTTGGTTACCCGAGGTCAAACCGTTACCTATCACAATCCGGAATTCAACCACCCGTCGATCTTTACATGGTCTGGCGGTTGCCAGGCCATCGTTCCATCACCGCCAGCCGGTCATAAACTGCCAGCCGGTCAGCTGGCGTCATTTACCGCCTCGCTCTGGTCAACATCTTTTCAGCGTCTGCCGCATTTACCGTCTGCTGGTCGCCGATTCCTGCGCTGAGCAAGTCGAGATCACGTTTGCTCGTGGCTACCGTTTTTGACCCAGTGACCGGAATTTCATTGTTTAAGTTATTGCTTCTTCAGTGTCATGCACTCTTAGAATCACGTTGATCAGTGTTTCAGACACAAGAGCTAGTCCAGAGCGTACACAATATGCAAGTCACCATTATACTTCACAGTGATACCGAATCTGAACAGTCTTGGTGATTCCGAACGAGATCGTCTTGTTATTGGTTCTTATTGTCTCCTCCGAAGTTTGTTGAGGAAAGCTGGTATATTTCAGAAAATAAGTTTGCTTTCGAATTTCGTGTTCAAATATTCGTGGTAAATATGGTGTTTCACGATTTTCTCAGCGGGAACGAATCAGAGGCCAGCTTGCGACCACGTCCAAATTACAGTAAAAAAAACAAAATCAATTTAAGTTTGCTTTGGACGTGGTCCTGAAAACTGAAGCCTCTGGTGAACAAGACCACGCTGGGGTACAATTCGTGCCTGCCAGGGAGCACCATATTTTACCACGAAAGATCTTATTTGAAAATCAAAACACGAAATTCAAGTAAGAATATTGTGTTTTCTTCAAATAACTACCAGCGCTCATGAGAGAGGAAGACCATAACAAACTGGAGGGATGTCTTAAAGGAAGAACCAGATAACTAAGAGACGTCCTCCTCGTTCCGGGAAGGATCACACAGACCGACTGAATCCAGATTCAGTCCCGTAATTGGAAAGTATAATGAAAGTGACTGCATATATACACTCTGGACCCCATCTTTAGTAATCACAAGAAACACTGGTCAACGTCAGTTCTAAGAGGATGCATGACGCTGGAAGGGTAAATGACTTAAAATATCATGTAATAATGGCGTAAAGGAATTCAAAATTCCGGAAGTTGATAAGAGTTAATGATATACGCAAGTCACTATCTAGAACATCACTGGGTCAAGAAAATTTCCCGAGTGACTTAATACAACAAACGTGATCTCGACCTTCAACACGGGAGGTATCGGCGACTTAGCGGAGACGCGAGACTCCCGAGCAAATACTGACTTGGACATACCTGAAGTGTTACGGTACGGTCCCTCGAGGAGCTGTTAACTTTCACCTACCTGGAAAAGAAAAAGATCACATTAACCTTCCATCTCACTTTACTCAAGGATGTATTTGTTCAATGTAAATACGATTATTAGGCGGGAGGGAATTAAATAATGACTATGAACCTACAGTAACATCTTTACAAGTGTTCTGACGATACGACAACAGTTTGTGTGGCTACAACGATTGTCGACAGTAACCTAACCTAACCACTAGATATGTAAGATCATTAGATTGGTTTAGTTAGTTCTTGTCATTAGCGGTTTGGCCTCAGATGATGGAGGGTCTGGTCCACCAACCAACTGGGCTGCCCATCATAATGAGGAAACTTGCCTGGTAACGTTTCTCTATACACTCACATTAGTCATCTGTGTATAACTCGCCAGACATGAACAGCGCCACCTGTTGGGACACTTATACCAGGCGCCGCGTCGTGTAGTTTATCTGGGTTGAAAACCGAACCGAACCAGAAGACCTACAGGGTTCACTCCAGCGGTTCATCTTGATTGCCGAGGACACGGACTTTTTGAGGTGACTGTACAGTCGGGGTCAAATGTTTGCTCCCGCCCAAACTGAAGCAGCATCGACCCCAAATGAGTTGAAACAGTCAGGGTTTGTCAGTTCGGAGACTCATTCCCGTGACTCAGTTTCACCTTGAAGAACGAACTTTTGTCCCCGACTGTACAAATATTGAATAATTCACATGTGTACGTAAGACATGTGTACATATCCGTGTACACATATAACTCATTTACTTCTATTTGTTCATTTTCCTTAATTTCCTTTAGCTTCTTTTTTATAATTATCTGTTTTGTTTTGATTCATCCATTTATTATATGTTTATCAGCCTATTTACATTTGTTATTCGATTATTTAACACGAAACTATTAGAGTTTAAGGGAGATTATAGACGGGATCACGATTGGCCAATGAGGAGGCAATAAACATTTCTATACAATCACGTGCTAGATGGCGCATTAATATATGAATAAATTAGTAGATAGAAAAATTATATGTAATCACCAAGAAAAAATACGAATAAATTTGTAGACTGTGAGATGAAGTTGAATTATATTACCTGAGAATATAAATAAATTATTATATAGTAAAAATTAGATAAATTAATAGACAATAATATAGACAAATGAAGGTGAAGGAAGTTTTATAGTTCTTTCATTCCCCGAGGGTGGCACATACGCCCTCTTGCCCGATGACGGATTGCATTAACGTAACGAGGTGAGAGTTGTGTTGTTATTCTCCTCTCCCTTCCCTCTTCCTTTCCTCCCTTCTTCCTCTCTCTCCTATTTTCTTCCTGCCTCTTCTTATTTTTGCCCTCTCCATTCTCTCCTCCATCCTCGCCTCTGTCTCCATCTCCTGTCCCCATCCCTTTCATCTCCTCCTCCTCCTTCCCATTTCTCTTATCTCCCATTCTCTCCTGCCCATCCCTATCAGTATTCTACACCTCCTGCCTCCAACCCACCCGTCCTTCCTCCTTCTCTTCTTCTTCATTCATTCCCTTCTTTCCGGTTTTCTTCCTTTTCTGCTTGTCTTATTCACCCTCCTCTTCCCTCTCATTTCCTTCCCTCACCTTCCTCCCTGTGTCTCATTATCCTCCCCATTCTCCTCCGTGAAAATAAACAGTCCACCTTACACCAGAAAAGGGACATAGGGGATGAGGGGCGGGGGTCTGGGAGGCTGAGAGGGCGGTGGGTCTGGGGGCTGAGGACGGGGGTCTGGGGGCTGAGGGGGCGGGGGGTCTGGGGCTGAGGGACGGGGGTCTGGGGCTGAGGGGCGGGGGGTCTGGGGGCTGAGGGGCAGGGGGTCTGGGGCTGAGGGGCGGTGGGTCCGAGGGGCGGGGGGTTTAGGAGGGGCGGGGTCTGGGGAAGGTGGGGTGGAGTTGAGGGAGGTCGAGATTGGTAGATCTGTCTAATGTGGTTTGGGGTGGATACGTTGGTAAGCCTGAGGGAGAGTTGATATTGAAACAGTTTATTTAGCCAGAAAACCACAGACACAGAGGATAATAACAATATAACATGGCTGAGCCAGTTGAGAACCTGAGCCTCTTTGAGGCATTTTTTCCAGTATAGCCCACCCAGGCAGGTCACTGACCCATAACGGCAATAATAACAATAATAATAATAATAATAATAATAATAATAATAATAATAATAATAATAATAATTTATAGTAAATAAAATTTATAATAAAACATAAAATTGAAACAAAAACAACAAATAAAACCACAAACCCAAATAAACAACAACAACAACAACAACAACAATAAAATTTATAATAGAAAATAGAAAATTGAAAATAAAATAATAAATTAATAATAATAATAATAATAATAATAATAATAATAATAATAATAATAATAATAATGATAAAGAAATACAAAATGAAAAAAAAATCAAAAGTGAGAAACGATATACTGTATGTTGTGTTGTCAATAGTAAGAGAAACAATTGAGACCCTCACAAGTAAATGAGGCAGAAGTCAGATCAACCTTGGGTCCCAGTATCTCCTTGGGTCCCAACACCTCCTGGGTCCCGGTACGCCTGGTCCCAGCCCTCCCTGGGTCCCAGCACTTCCTTGGGTCCCGGCACGCCTCCTGGGTCCCGGTACGCCTCTGGGTCCCAGTACCCTCCTGGGTCCCAGTACCTCCTTGTCCCAGTACCCCCTGTCCCAGCACTTTGGGCCCCAGTACTCTGGCTCCCAGTACCTCCTGGGTCCCAGTACCCTGGGGCGGCCAGAGCTAATGCATTCCTCCCGGTACTTTGATTCCTCACATAGCGCTATAAGATATCTTTATCTACGTCAAGAGATTACCTTACGTGCCAAACTTGGTAGTCGGTAAGGTATGATTACCTATTGGCTACACTGACAGCTGACAAGAATTATTAAAAAGATGTTTATGTCTCCTCCTCAGAGTGCAGCTATATATAATATGTGCTATAGTACGGCACTTGTCTATTTAGTTTCTTGGCACAAATCCATAACAAATAAAGGCTAATTTAACATATTATCCAAAGATTAAAAACATTAATCCCCAAACACTACAGGAAATAATACGGCGTAAGGATTGTGAGATTACAATGAGGATATATAAATGTATTACCAAAGGAAACGCAACAATTTTATGTCCATTATGTTGTTATCAACACAAATTCCCAGTAAAAGAACGAATCTGTATGTTTCCATCGACATAGAATTTACAGGGTGTGAGTTGAGGAAATTGGATGAGAATTTTCATTACAAATTTGATACACTTTTTTCCTTGTGGTTGAATGGAAAATAATGCCAACACTGAATAGTCTTCAATTAGAATATGACGTCCATGTATATGAACCTCATGGCATGAATAGTGACATACCCACATGAAATCTGACCTATATATACTGTTAATGAATATGATTTATTTCTTTGTATATGAACCTCTGTCTGCGTGGCAGTGAGAAGTGATACCACCTCAGTGTCAAGACCTGACTGAATTACACAAGGCAAACTGTACTACAAGCTTTGTCAATAAATTTGTTAAAAGTAAAGAACTAAAAGCCTTAAATATGGATTGGTTTGTTCACCTTAATGCACTAAGATACAGAGAATTGTTCCCAACACAAGAGTGTTATTTAATGCTTCTTTGTATGAGTTTTGTGTTAAGATTACGTCTGTAGGATTCATTATTAGTATGTGTTCTCCTATAACCATTGTATCAATTATTATATTACTCTCTTTGTCTCTCTCTCTAAATTAATACGTAAGCGATTGCTATATGTTACAGTAAATGTTATCACTCGTTGTCTATCTCTTACGAAGTCTGTCACAAAGAGAAACAGATAAACAGACAGAGAAGCACAGTCCCATATGGAATCAAGTCTTCCCTAGTTCACCCAGGTCACCTGACCTTCCTGACCTGACTTGTCACTGCCTCACCACTCACCACGCGTCACTACATCTTGTGTATAGATCACCATACCTGCACCCCATCCCCTACGGTACAGGCAGTGGTGGTGGCGCGGACAGTGTGGTGGGGACGGTGGTGGGGGACGCCAAGAAGATGGTGGAAGTGACAGCGGTGGTGGGGGGACAGCAAGGTAGGTGGTGAAAGCGGGAAGCGATGGTGGGGAAGACAAAGGGCGGACAGCGTAGGTGACAGCTGGTGGGGGGCGGACAGTGGTGGTGGGGCGGACAGTGGTGGTGGGGGGACAGGTGGTGAGGAGAGGGACGGACAGTGGAGGTGGGGGCGGACAGTGGTGGCGGACAGTGGTGGGGGGGCGGACAGTAGGGGGGGGACAGGTGGGGGGCGGAGCAGGGAGTGGCCGGACAGTAGGGGGCGGACAGTGGTGGGGCGGACAGCAGGGGACAGTGGTGGGGGCGGAGTGGTGGGGGCAGTGGTGGGGGGCAGAGACAGCAGTGGTGGGGGCACAGCAGTGGTAGGGGGGCGGACAGTGTAGGACAGCTGGGGGACGGACAGTAGGGTGGGGGCACAGTGGTTGGGGGAGTGACAAAAGTGGTGTGAGGGGGGACAGTGGAGTGCAGGGGGAGGCCACAGTGGTGGGGAAGTGAAGTGGTGGGGGAACGGACAGTGGTGGTGGTGGGAAGGACAGTGTGGTGGTGGGGCGGACAGTGGTGGTGGTGGGGGCGGACAGCAGGTGGGGGGCGGACAGTGGTGGGCGGACGGTGGTGGGGGGGGACAGTGTAAAGGACAGGGGGCGGACAGGTGGTGGGGAGCGGACAGTGGTAGGTGGGGGGGACAGGGAGGTGGGACGGACAGTGGTGGTGACAGGCGGTGGTGGTGGGGGCGGGACAGTGCAGGTGGTGGGGGGGTGACAGTGGTGGTGGGGAAGGACAGTGGTGGTGGGGCGGACAAGGTGGTGGTGGGGGGACAGTGGTGGTGGTGGGGGCGGACAGTGGTGGTGGTGGCGGACAGTGGTGGTGGTGGGGTGACAGTGGTGGTGGTGGGGGCGGACAGTGGTGGTACCGGACAGGTGGTGGGGGGGACAGTGGTGGTGGGGGTGGGTAGGGGCGAAGAGTGGTGGGGGTGGACGGTGGAGCGGGTCAGCAGGGAGCGAACAGTGGTGGGGGGTGGACAGTGGTGACGGACAGTGGTGGGGTGGACAGTGGTGGTAGGGGACGACAGTGGTGGTGGGGACGGACAGTGGTGGTGTGGACGGCAGTGGTGGTGGGGGCCGGGGCAGTGGTGGTGGGGGCGGGTAGTGATGGTGGGGGGGGACAGTCGGTGGTGGGGGGGGACAGCAGGAGGCAAGTGGTACAGACAGTGGTGGGGACGGAAGTGGTGGTGTGGACGGACAGTGGTGGGGGAGGGACAGTGGGGACGGATAGTGGTGGTGGGGAAGGACATGGGACAGTGGTGGTGGCCGATGTGGGGGACTGGACAGTGGTGGGGGCGACAGTGGTGGTGGGGAAGAAGGTGGTGGGGGGGGACAGCGGTGGTGGGGGCGGACAGTGGTAGGAAGACAGGGTGGTAGGGACAGGCAGGTGGGGGACAGTGGTGGTGGGGAGGGGGACAGTGGTGGGGAGTGACAGTGGTGGTGAGTGAGTGGTGGTGGGGCGAGTGGTGAGGCGGAGTGGTGGGACTGGGGAAGTGGACATGTGGTGGGGGGGGACAGTGGTGGTGGGGGAAGGACAGTGGTGGGGGGAAGGGACAGGGTGGTGGGGGACGGACAGTGGTGGTGGGGGCGGACAGCAGAGTGGCAGTGGGGGAGGACAGTGGTGGTGGGGGGGGACAGTGGTGGTGGGGGCGGACAGTGGTGGTGGGGGCCGGACAGTGGTGGTGGGGGGAACGGACAGTGGTGGGGGCGGACAGTGGTGGGGAAGTGATGGTGTGTGGAGACAGGGTGGTAAAGTGACAGTGGGGTGGTGGGGCACAGGGGAGCGATGTGCGGAAGACGACAAGTGGTGGGGGAGAGCGGTGGTAAAGTGGACATGGTGGTGGGGAGACTACGGACAGTGGTAGTGGGGAAGACAGCGCGGGTGGGTAATGACAGCGGTGGTGGAGGCAGCAGGTGGACAGCGGTGGTAAGGACAGGTGGGGGGAAGTGACAAAGGCTGGTAAGGACAGCGGTGGTAAAGGACAGCGGTGGGGCGGGACAGTGGTGGGGGGCGGACAGTGGTGGGCGGACAGTGGTAAGTGGGACAGTGGTGGTGGGGAAGTGACAGGGGGGGGAAGGACAGTGGTGGTGGGGGCGGACAGTGGTGGTGGGAACGGACAGTGGTGGTGGGAGTGGGACAGTGGTGGTGGGGGGACAGTGGTGGTGGGGAAGGACAGTGTGGTGGTAAGGACAGTGGTGGTGGTGGGGGCGGGACAGTGGTGGTGGTGGGGGAGGGACAGGAGGTGGGGGGCGGACAGTGGTGGTGGTGGGGAAGTGAGAGTGGTGGTGGGGGGACGGGAGAGTGGTGGTGGTGGGGGGCGGACAGTGGTGGTGGTGGAAGGGACAGTGGTGGTGGTGGGGGAAGGAGAGTGGTGGTGGTGGGGGGGCGGAGAGTGGTGGTGGTGGGCGGAGAGTGGTGGTGGTGGGGGGCGGAGAGGGTGGTGGTGGGGGCGGAGAGTGGTGGTGGTGGGGGGGGCGGGAGAGTGGTGGTGGGGGCGGAGAGTGGTGGTGGTGGGGGGCGGAGAGTGGTGGTGGTGGTGGGGGAGGGACAGTGGTGGTGGGGCAGATAGTGGTGGTGGGGGGCGGACAGTGGTGGTGGGGGGAGGGACAGTGGTGGTGGGGGAGGATAGTGGTGGTAAAGGGGGACAGGTGGTGGGGTGACAGTGGTGGTGGGGAGACAGTGGTGGTACGGACAGTGGTGGTAGGTGAGTGGTGGGGGGCGTGGGGTGGGGCGTGGCGGACAACAGTTGAAGTGGACAGGTGGTGGGGAAGTGAGAGCAGGAAGGAGAGTGGTGGTGGGGGCGGAGAGGTGGTGGGGGAGGACTGTGGTGGGGGGGGCAGTGATGGGGGAGGACAGCAGTGGTGGGGCGGGACAGGTGGTGGGGGGGCGGACAGCGGTGGTGGAGGCGGACAGTGGTGGGGGCGGACAGTGTGGGGGGCGGACAGCGGGGGACGACAGTGGTGGTGGGGGCGGACAGGAGGCGGACAGCGGTGGGGGGGCGGACAGTGGTGGTGGGGGCGGACAGTGGCTACAAGGGACAGTGGTGGTGGTGGGGGCGGACAGTGGTGGTGGAGGGGGACAGTGGTGGTGGGGGGACAGTGGTGGTGGGGCAAGTGGTGGGGGGTGAGTGGTGGGGAGTGCAGTGGTGGGGACGGAGTGGTGGGGGAGAGGACATTATGCGGGGCGGACAGTGGTGGTGGGGGGGTGGGAGTGTGGGGGCAGAGAGGATGGCAGGGGCTGGAGAGTGGTGGTGGGGGCGGAGAGTGGTGGTGGTGGCGGGGTGGTGGGGGGGGACGGGCAGTGGTGGGGGACGGGCAGTGGGGAGGGGGCAGTGGTGGGGGGGGGACAGTGGTGGTGGTGGGGCGGACAGGTGGTGGTGGGGCGGGACATGGTACGGACAGTGTGGTGGTAGCAGGGGTGGAAGGGACAGTGGTGGTGGGACGGACAGTGGTGGTGGGGGCGGACAGTGGTGGTGGGGCGACAGTGGTGGTGGGGGCGACAGGGGGTGGGGACGGACAGTGGTGGGGGGGTGACAGGTGGGGGGGCGGACAGTGGGGGGGGACAGTGGTAGGACAGTGGGGTGGGGGCGGACAGGGGGGGGGCAGTGGTGGGGAAGGACAGTGGTGGGGGACGGACAGTGGGGGGACGGACAGTGGTGGGGGGCGGACAGTGTGGGGGCGCGGACAGTGGTGGGGAAGGACAGTGTGGGGGGCGGACAGTGGTGGGGGGGGGACAGTGGTGGGGGGGCGGACAGTGGTGGGGGGGAGGGACAGTGGTGGGGGGGCGGACAGTGGTGGTGGTGGTGGGGGGGCGGACAGTGGTGGTTTGTGGGGGGGCGGACAGTGGTGGTGGGGGGCGGACAGTGGTCGGGGGGCGGACAGTGGTCAGGGGTGGACAGTGGTGGGGGCGGACAGTTGAGGAGCGGACGTGGTGGGGGGCGGATAGTGGTGGGGGGCGGGGGATAGTGGTGGGGGGCGAACAGTGGCAGTGGAAGGGGTGTGGACGATGGTGGATGGGGCGAGGTAGAGGATAGGAGGATGATGCTTATAAACTATCCCTCTATATATGGAAACACGAAGGAGGGCCTACAGTTTTATGAAGGATAGTGATGTCTGGAAACAAATCACACTATCCAGACCATCCACATATGCCACCAAGGAGGAAAGATTGGAGATAATACAAGCATTATCAAAACTGTCAGCACCATACTGTCAGCACCAAACTGTCAGCACCAAACCGTCAACACCATACTGTCAGCATATACTGTTAGCACTAAACTGTCACCAAAAATCAACACCAAACTGTCAACAAAACTGTCAGCACAAAACATCATCTTACACTCTTCCACGTCAGCCCACCTAAGTATAAAAGAACAACTTCCACAACACGTCAATAAATATGATAACAAAATACTTTTTCCCCAACACAACCTCTGTAACATCTCTCGGGAAAACCGTATCAGAATTCTGGAGTTCCCAGCATTCATATTCAAGTCGGATTCAAGATTCCAGATTCAGATTCAAGGTAGTGCCTAGCTGGTCGTCTCCACCAGTTGGTAGGAGAGAAAATGCAGGATCTAAGAAGCAGGATAAATATCATATATTTGTATGTCAGTTTGGAAGGTGGTCAGACACGGAGATGTGTGTGTTGTGTGTGCGCGCACAGAGGTGCCGTAATGCGTCTAGTGGCAGTATTATGTTAAGTGTTAAGGTGCAACTACTTGCTTTCTCGCTTTCAGCCACCACCCTGGCTAGGCCGTCGTGGCGAACAGGGAAGCAACTGTATAAGTCTTTCATACACACAGCCCTTCACCATCAAGACTCCAGCTGTGCCCCTCGTGGCAACACACGCCGGGTGCCTCGTGGACCAGGCTAGACAGCAGGATTCGGAGTATTAGTGGGCTCCAGTGTGATAGTGCTCAGACCACTGGCATGTGGACATTCTGGCCACCAACCATTGTTGCCCCACTGCCTTGGATACCTTGGCAGATATAAGGCTAGCAGTAAACCCGAACAGAAGAATCTCCTGGTGGGCCCCATCCAGGGCAGACATGCGTACAGAGCTCAACAAAGACCCCATGGTATAGGCGGAAGAGGTGACTACAGGGCTTACGACTACTGGGGAAGAAGGCAATGCTGATGGACATGCTACTCAGGCGAAAACCCAACAAACTTTGGCTACGACAGTCCATTGCAACCACATCCCCAGTCGTTGCATCCTGAAAAGGGAGAGCCAAGATGTATAATTGCAGCCTGCGCCCTGCATCATCACAAAAGTCTATGGCGACAGACGAGTGGCCTGGGGCAAAAATTTAATAATAATAATAGTAATTATAGTAAATAAAATTTATAATAAAAAGTAAAATAAAAAAATAATAAATAACAACATTGTATGAATGTAAGAAAAAATAATAATAATCAATAGTGGCGCTATATGTACAGTATGTTGTCTTGTCAATAGTAAGAGAAACAATTGAGAGACCCTGCAATTGTGTGTGTAAATGAGGCAGAAAGACAGATCACCAACCTGGGACTTGGTACAATATTCGTGATGCCATATGGCAGCAGGGTCTACCATAGAAACACAGCTGCTTCCAACATCTTCCCAGGCGGTAGTACCTCCCTGTTTGATAGCTGCCTACCATCTGTACTTAAATGACTGCCGAGAGTCTGTAGTCAAACTCTGCATGGGTGGCACAGATAAGATGGTCGTTTATGCACTCGGGATCTATAAGCAGCAGTAGAATCCGGTCCCTGTCTAAGCAGCCTTTCGAGGAGAGCCTCCTCCCCACATGGGGCTAGAAAAGGTGCCCTGTGGCAAACAAGCTGGCTAGGTATAACATCGACATAGCAGCCATTAGTGAGTCCTTGCTCCCAGACGAGGGTCAACTGACAGAACAGGGGTCTGGCTCTACCTTCTTCTGGAAGGGTAACATTGCTGTGGAGAGAAACCGCATTTATGGAGTTGGCTTTGCCATCTGCCAACGCATCCTACGCAGACTAACTGAAATGCCTGTTGGGATCAACGACAGCCTCATGACGTTCAGAGTCCCACTGAATGACTCACGTCATGCCTTTTTCATCAATGCATACGCCCCAACACTGGACGCAGAGGATGACATCAAGGAGGCAATTTATGCCGACCTCGACAGAGTGATAACCTCTATCTCTGGCGACTTCAATGCCAGAGTTGGCAGAGATGCTGATATTTGGCGGGGAACCATAGGGAGAGATGGAATAGGTAAGTGTAATCTCAACAGCCTTCTCCTCATCATTCGTGCTGCACACAACCTCATCATCAACAATACCTTGTTTAGGCAGGCTGACAAGTTCATGGTTCGTGGCAACATCCACGATCCAAACACTGGCGTCTCATCACTAGAGCCACGCATGCCTCAGACCACTGCAACACTGATCATCGGCTCATCAGAGCAAAGCTCTCACTTTGTTTACCCAAAAACGGTTTAACTCATTACCTGGAGATCCAGTGGTAGCACATGCCAGAGAGAAGCTGAACATGGGCTGGATAAACAACCCAAACTTAAAAGCGAATGGGATATTTTTGGCAGGATATTTCGACACTGTCACGACAAAAACCTGCAGAAAGACCTTTGTCAGACGAAAGAATACACGAGGACTGGTTTCATGAAAATGACCAAAAATCAATGTATTTATCAATGACAAATGTGTAAGTTTAACCGACTGGCAGAACAATCCCAGAAGAAGAAAGCAGTGTCTAGGAACGAACGTTACCAACGAATAGCAAACGCAACACCTCGGTGGGCAACTCAAAAGGAATAAGGATAGTCTTAAGAAAACCTGAAAAAGTACCAAACGACCCCTTACCTGGGAGACACCACACCGCACGCTTGGAGGAGCACCACACAAGAAGGTGTAATTTTCGAGTTAGCCTCCTGACTGCATACTGAGGCAGACAAGCGCCAGCACAGGAAAGATGCTGCCGCCGCCGCTCACTAGATGCAGCCCCAACATGTGAAACATCTGTGAATGACCCTGCCAGTTCCTGTACGGTTCTTTTGTTAACCTCAGAAGTCACCAACGAAGGTGCCATCTTAATAAATTCTGCATCATTGTATCATAGCTGGATGACGTCACACTGATTCCGAGTGACAAAGACAATAGTAGTAGTGTGTGTGCACCTGGGGTAGGGGGGCAGGTGGGTGGGGGGGGTAGGTGGGTGGGGGGGTAGGTGGGTGGGGGGGGTAGGTGGGTGGGGGGGGGTGGGTGGGGGTAGGTGGGTGGGGGGGCAGGTGGGTGGGGGGCAGGTGGGTGGAGGCAGGTGGGTGGGGGGGGTGGGTGGGGTGGGGGGTAGGTGGGGCAGATGGGGCAGATGGGTGGATGCAGATGGGTGGGGGGGATAGGTGAAGTGGGGGCAGGTGGGTGGGGGGGCAGGTGGAAGAGGTGGGTGGGGGGCAGGTGGGTGGGGGGGGCAGGTGGGTGGGGGCAGGTGGGTGGGGGGCAGGTGGGTGGGGGCAGGTGGGTGGAGGGCAGGTGGGTGGGGGGGGCAGGTGGGTGAAGAGGGTGGGGGGGCAGGTGGGTGAGGGGCAGGGTGGGGGCAGGTGGTGGGGGGGCAGGTGGGTAAAGAGGTGGCGGGGGGGGCAGGCGGGTGGGGCAGGTGGGTGGGGGCAGGTGGGTGGGGGCAGGCAGGTATGGGGGCACAAGAGGGGCAGGTGGGGCAGGCAGGCTGGGCAGATGGGGGTGCAGGTGTGTGTGGGGGTGTGAGGGGGTAGGTAAGGAGGGTGTGTGTGGGGCAGGTGTGTGTGGGGAAGGTGTGTGGGGGTAGGTTTTATGTGGGAAGGTGGTGTGTGTGGGGGCAGGTGTGGGGGGTAGGTGTGTGGGGGGGACAGGTGTGTGATAGGTGTGGGGGGTAGGTGTGGGAAGGTGGGTGGGGGCAGGGTTTGGGGGTAGTGGGGGGGCAGGGTGTGGGGGATAGGTGTGGGGTAGGTGTGGGGGCAGGTAGGGGGGGCAGGTGTGTGTGGGGGGCAGGTGTGTGGGGACAGGTGTGTGGGGTTAGTGTGTGTGACAGGTGGGGGGCTAGGTGAGAAATAGGTGAGTAAATAGGTGTGATAAATAGGTGATAAATATGTGTGTACAATAATAGGGTGTGGGGGGCAGGTGGGGCAGGTGTGGGGGCAGGTGGCTGGGGGGCAGGTGCCTGGGGGGAGGCTGTCTGGGGGCAGTGTGGGGGTAGGTGTGGGGGCAGGTGTGTGGGGGCAGGCACTGGGGGCAGGGGTGTGGTGGGGCAGGTGTGTGGTGGGGCAGGGTGTGTGGGGGGTAGGTGTGTGGGGGGCAGGTGTGGGCAGGTGGGGGTGAGGTGTGGGGGTAGGTGTCTGGGGGGGAGGCGTGGACAGGTGTGTGGGGCAGGCATGTGGGAGGCAAAATGGTGGGGCTGGTGGGGGCAGGTGTGGGGCAGGGTGGTGGGGCTGGTGGGGGGTAGGTATGTGTGGTGGGGCAGGGTGTGTGGTGGGGCAGGTGTGGGGGTAGGTGTGGGGGTAGGTGGTGGGGCAGGTGTTTGGGGGCAGGTGTGGGGGGTAGGTGGGGTGTGGTACAGTGTGCATGTGGGGGGTAGGTGTGTGCTGGTGGGGGGTAGGTGTGTGTGGGGGGGTGCTTGGGGGGTAGAGTGTGGGGGTGTGCATGGGGGCATGTGTGTATGTGTGGGGGTATGTGTGTGTGTGTATGGGGGTATGTGTGCATGTGGGGGCATGTGTGCATGTGGGCATGTGCGCATGTGGGGTATGTGTGGGGGTATGTGTATGTGGGGTATGTGTGTGTGGGGGCATGTGCATGTGGTGGTATGTGTATGTGGGGTATGTGTGTATGTGGGGGTGTGTGTATGTGGGGGGTGTGTATGTCCCTAAGGACCCAGATTATATCTCCTCATCTCTTCACCTCCCTGTCTTTATCTCCCCTTATCCTTCCTTCCTACCTGTCTTATCCTCCTCTCCCTCCCTTATCCTTCCCTCATATTCTCTGTCTTGTCCTCCCCCTCGCCTTATCCTTCCTTCCCATATTCCTCTGTCTTATCCTCCCCTCCCTATCCTTCCTTCCCATATTCCTCTGTCTTATCCCTCCCTCGCCTTATCCTGCCATCCATCATTACCCACCGGTCTCCCTAATGAGGCCTGGCTGTAACGCCGACACCACGCCAAGTTTGGCACATTACGGCGTAGTCGTTACCATCTCGCCGATATCTTGTTCTGGGTGACGGCCGGCGTAACAGGAGTGTGACGTGCGAATATCCAGTGAGAGTGATTTATACATCTTCTCTTTATTTTCAGGAGTGTAAAATAACATTGGCGTACCAGGTACACAGGTACAGGTATATTTATAAATAGAGGTACAAGTACTGTACATATAGACATACATGCAGAGTTAAATGCAAGTAAAGATATAAATACAGGTATATTCCCGGTTGATAGTACTGTACATTTAGCCTCGCAGGAGTGCAGTGGTGGTGGTGCTGGTGGTGATGCCTCTCAGGAGTAACAGCGGTGATGGTGGCCTGTCGGGGAGCATAACGGTGGTGGTACCCCTGCAAGCGAGTGCAGTGGTGGTGGTGGTGGTGGTGGTGGTGCTGGTGGTGGTCTTCGGGAAGTATAGCGGTAAATAATAATAAATAATAATAATAATTAATTATTATTGAAAGAGCTTGGCAGCCAGAAGGCTGAAAATATACAGTTGCATATTTGGGGAATGGGTTACGAATTACAAATAATATACAAGTAACATAAGTGATACAAATAAGATATATAATAAATAGATGAGAAGCTCAAACCACAGTTCATTTCAACATAGTGACAGTGCAAGGAGTAGTGTTTACTGGGAGTGAATACACTGTTTATTACAAGGTTGATAATTTTACAATGGTTGGGACTGGGCTGTTCTTATAGCGATCAGTTCGTGCACGAATGGGCTGGATGCGGTTGTGGTGTCGAACAGCAATTTCGGACTAGGATCTGCGGTAGTAGGAGCCGGATGTCGAGGATGGTGTACCACCCCAGATGAGGTCGGGATGGTCAGTGAGTCGAAAGGGTCAGTGTGTTGAGCGCTTTGATAGAG